ATGTTTAATCAAATAGGAAGATCAAGGGGGTTGACAGGCAAAATTGGGGAGTCATGACCTGCTTATTTCAGATAGAATTTTCCTAAATTCTATTGAGAAACTGACGAGTTATCTTAGGAATGGAATCGTTTCTTCTGGTCGTCTGGGTAAGACTCTTAATTATGAAGTATGCTTTGAAGGGTCCAATGATCCCACTGCACCCTCCTCTTCCCCCCACAGTCCAGTTTCAACGAGATGACTGTGTTTTGAAAGAGAAGTATTTAGTTGCCACCAGTGCACCTCTGGCTATACTATTAGGAAATACACACACACACACACACACACACACACACACACACACACACACGTATTTTTATGGCTGAGGAAAAAAGAGATGAGAAAAAAAATGAGCAAGTGAAAAACTTGAAAAAACAAACCTCTTCCCTGACAAAATTACCCCCGAGAGACAGGCTGTTGAAATACTCTGTACCTACTGTCACTTCGTTTCCATTCCAGGCTGGACTGTGGTCATGTGGGGGCTAAAGAAATCTAAGCCAAAGGTGGGAGAGGGCCTAGCCCTGGTTTCGCAAGCCTGGTGTGCAGAACCGGCCCTTGGCTTCCATTTCCTGCTTTGGTAAAACCGGGAAAACGCCCGCGGTTAACTCTCCAAAAAGGGTGTGTTCTTTCGATTTTGGTTCTATTTACCCAGATCCTTAACTGGATGACGGTAACGTGTAGCTTGATTTTTAGCTTTTAAGAAGAGTCAGTTTTCAGAGGAGCCAGACGCAGAAGGGGAGCGCAAGGGTGAGCGACAGCCGCTGAGAACTTGTCCCCCGTCTGCGGCGCCCGCGCCAGGTCAGCTCGCTCCTGAACTTCACCTTTCATGCACATTTGGGTTAACAAACAACAACGGATTCCCAAGCGCAGACTCCACACTGGCGGGGGGCGGGGGGCACCGGGGGGCGGGGCGAAGGCAGCGGGAGGACAACGCGGGTGTCCCGATGGGGTGTGGCTGTCCAAGTGCTGGGCTCCGCGCAGTTCAGCCTCTCCGTTTGGTC